AAAAAAACAAACCAAACCAAACACTCCTCCTTTCTTATTTGTAACAGACAATCAGTGGTCCAAAGAGACGACGAAAACTCAGCCGTAAAGAAAAACGAAATTACGGCATTTGCAGAAAATAGATAGAACTGGAACCCATTGCGTTAAAGGGAAATAAGTCAAACTCAGACAATCAAGGGTGGTATGTTCTCTTTCATATGTGGAGAAGCTAGACGGGAAAACGGAGGAACAAGACGGGGGATTCCGAGGCAGGGATCTCATGAAAATCCAAAGGAGATCAGAAGAGGAAAGGGAGAGTGCTGGGGAGTGATACTGCCAAATTACGTTGTTACCTTATGCGCATGCACAAATGTGTCACAACAAATCCCATCATTATACATAATTATAATGCACCAATAAGGACGTGGAGAGAGAAACAAAGACCCCTTTAATGTCAAGTGTGCTGCCATCAGTTCCCCAGGAACTGCCTAGACATATCTGGGGACTCTGTCCCTTCTACCTGAGTAAATACAAGTCCCCAGCACAGTGCTATCCCTCCAGGTGCAGCAAGGGACATGCCACCCAGCTCCATGCAGACTTTCAGCCAGTCAGGGGCCTGGCAAGTGACCCAAGGGTAGACCTGTGTCCCTGTCTCTACACAAATCACAAACAGGAACATTTCCCAGGTCTTTGTGCCTGGAGTCTGCGCACCTGCTTCAGCCTGAAGCTGCTCAGGAGGCCGGAGCAGCCGCTCTGGAGCATGGGGAGGAATGAATGAGCCTGCCAGGCTCCGGGCAGTCACAGCATGTCCGATCCCTCCAGGGACAGGAGTGAAGGGCTTAAAAGTGGGCTGGCCCCACAGTGAGCTCTTCAATATCCGTCTTCACACATGCTCAGGAACAGTCCCCTGTGAGCAGGCCCCTCCCCAGCCCACCTCTCAGCTCCTGTATCCATGCCTGGCACACGGCAAACCTTTGACAGATATTTGGTAGGAAAAAAGACTAGTTTTCTTCACCCTCCACATGGAGTGGGGGAGTGTCTCTGGGTGAGGGCAGGATTTGGGTGTTCTTGACCCAGATCTGACATGATACCCTGTTGATACTAGCCCTCAATCCCACGTCATTCTCTCCAACTTTAAATGAAAATGGTGCTTACAGGGGAAGGCCTTCCATTCACGCCAGAGCCTTAAACCCGTGGTGTTTCTTTATTAACACTATCCTCATCCGCTTTCACTCTAAGTTCCTACTGAATGCATAGTCTTAGGGATCTGTCATCCCCTGGAGTCCTGCTCAGATGTCGTGGGAAGCTCTGGTTGCACAGGCCCAGTCAAGAAGGCCAGCAGAAGGAGACCTTTGTTGAGGAAATGCATTGCTCTTAACCCCCACTTCTAGCCCATCCAAAGAGCACCTGGCCATGACTTAGAATCTGTAGTCCACTGTCGGTTATGATCTATTACAAGCGTACTAAGCAAAGTCCACGCATCTGCGAGATTGAAAAGCCAGGTTAACCTCACAGGGAGATACCATGCTTTCGAGCAACTTAACGGCATTGTGGATGAGCGAGGCAGGGAGTACAGCTGTGGGAACTTCACTATGTGGTCAAGACTCCCGTTTCTGTCCCATCTCTGCCACCATCTACCTAGGGAGCCCAGGACAAGTCATCTAGTTTCTATATCAGTCAAATGAGCACATCTGGGTTAACCAAATAATCCCAAGTCCCCTTCCCCACAGAACTTCACCATTCTGCAATACACAGATTAACAACTGCATGGTAAGTGAGCACCAGGTCTGTTGTTGTAGCTCCCCTGCACCCCGTCAGTTAAATATTTTGATACTCTTTAGAGAGGCACCATGGGCTGGTGGTGGCTCTCCCCACATGTGCTGCATCCTTACCTTCTGCTTTGGGTGATGGCATCTGCTTTTCTTTGAGACACCCCCACCTCCATCCCAGGCCACCTCCATGGGGCTGTTGAACCAGCCCGGTCCCCATCTCCAGGCTGCCTGGGAAACCCCAGCTCCAGTGGCCTACTCTCAGTACCTGTCCCAGGCCTGGTATCCGGCCCAAACTGTACGAAGACCAACTCAGGGAAGGCCGATGGGTGAGCTCGGCCCACCGCAGCAGCCTGGTCATTCAGCCAACTAAGCATTTAGCACACGGAGTTGGCCACACAGCGTCCGATGTTCTCCTACTGGGTGACCAGACCTCGAGGAAGGCAGTTCATAGTCATGGTGCACAGGCCTGGCTGGGGCTGCTTCTGCCCCTCCATCAGCAAGATGAACTCTTCAGTTCCCGCTTCCCTTTGCTCACGGGCTCGGATCTGAACATTGTCTAATCAGCTCTCTTGGGGAGTCAGGCCAGGCCTGAGGTCATCTTGAAGCCCCAACAGTGCAGACAAGAGACGCGTCTCAGGGTCACTTTGTACCTGACCCCTCTGGCCTGCCATCCTGTACAGCATGAATATGGAGAAAGAGCCA